TATATATATAATTTTCTTGTTTTACTTAAGTACGCTGTAGATTAGAAAAATTCTTAACTTTAACTAGAAACAGTAAATCTGTTTTTCATTAAAAATTCTATATGATACGGTGATAATATCCTGGATAAATTCAGTAGTCTGATTCGAAGCTGACTAGATGCTTTTGTACCGATCAATGTCAGTGCAGATTGTCGACTGCAACGGTCTCGTAGCTCAGCGAAATCAACGGGTTCGAAGAACCCGAAGGTTTGAAGGAATAAGAAAAGGTAACCGAAAGCTATATTTACGTAGAAAGGTTTGAATTAGACAGCAAAGGTACATGGAATACATATAGGTTTCACTACGGCGTTGCAATGACAATAAGGCTAAAAACACAAAAGCGTACTTCTACTTTTATTAAAATAACGCACGTGACATAAGTCTAACAGCAGTTTTATACTACTATCCGGTCTTGAAAACAGCATCTTCCCGTTCTTAGCCCTTTCAACAAAGGATCGATTTATTGCTTGACTGAATAGGCAAACGTTGACAGGTCTTGCCAACCCTTTCGAAGAGTGCGCTACGGTTGCTTCGCTCATCTTAGCTTGTGGTGCTTAACAACGGTGGTGGGGGTGTCACTTTTACGTAAAGCCCAGCGCTTGTCATAAGCGCGCTACAGTTTTCTTTCAAACCGGAATAGCGTATCCAATATAGGTCGATAAAATTAGGCTTTAAGGAACAGCAAAAGACTCGATTTCTTCAACTGATAGAACCAGCTAGGCGTGTTAATGTTAAATGATTTAATGTCGAAATTCTTTCATAGCTCTTTCTTTCGGCAAAACTGTTATTGGCTTAGAGGACATGTAAACGTTTGAATAAGCTCATGTCTTGAATAGAAATTAACGAAGAACTAAGAACAGGAGAAAAGCAACAAGGTGTTTATGACGTCAAAATGAGCGAAAGATGTGACTTATTTGGTTCTCCTTCCAACCGAAAAACAGGACGTACATTTTGTATATTAAAATTTGTAATTTTCTTAACCACTACCATTATGTGGAGTCGACCGATTATTCGGTTGCGGGAAAATCGTCGACGTTTACTGCCCTACTAACTCATTGTAAATTGTCCCAACTCTAAATAGGTACATTGGAGGCAGTATCAGACGCATTAGTGGTTGCACCCCTGATCAGAACGGCTCAGCTCCATTCGAAGCTCAAAGGTACTTCAACCTATGTAGGTGTATTTGGAAATCGTCATCGGCGCATTCGAGAAGAAGTCGATCTGATGGGCGATAGCGTTCGAAGTCCGACAAATGGCGAGGATTATTTAGCATATGTTTTTGGTGCACCTCTGGTAAACCAACTCGGCGGTTTCGGATCAAACTACACACCTGAAGAGGAAGCAATCTCAGAAGCTTCCATTGAGTACTGGACCAGTTTCGCTAGAGATGGGTAAGTAATTAATTACATGTGCTTTTTTTTTTTTTTTTTTTTTCTAGGAAACGCGTTAGACTGACGTAGCATTCGAAACATTTATCAAACACCAAAATGCATGTATATCATTTTTTATCGACAATTATAAGCGAAATATGTAATATATTTGCTTAAAGTCGTTTGGTGTGATGAACTGTAGCGGTCAAATGATTGTCAAACCGTATAGTTACGCAGAAATTATTATTATTTTTTTTATGTTATTTTGCACGCTCGTTTGTTTATATAAATTGAACAATTATTTTCTTTTTAGAGAGCTAGGATTGGCTAGATATTGTGACCCGTTTACCTTCTTTTGTGACCACGTCTATTACGTGCACTTACAATTTAACTCTGTGACTGCGGCTCCCGGCCTTTCTAAGAAAAAATTAAATTGTTCATTAGTGAGTTGGGCCGTGGGTTTTAATTTTCCAAGTGATGTTATGAGGAAAGAACAGATAAAAATAATAAACGTGTACCCAGGACATCGTTAATTGGAGATGGGCATAAGGTTTCCATAATAAAAAATATCAATTTTAAAAACTCCCCACATTATTTAAAAGCTGATGAGGCAGAAATTTTTCGATATAGAATATTTGATCAAGTCGCTCTCCTATAAAATAGAAAATTAAACATAAATCCATGTCAAAAAGAAGGTGTGAGAGGAGCTCACAAGCACAAGTTTAACATGTTCTTCGAACTATCCGCAATATAAAAAGGTGTTATTTGCGCTCATAAGTTATTTCCTAAGACTGTTGTTAATCTATTGGTGATCAGTTTGCCAGCGCCCAGAAGGACCCATTTTATATGTCAGGATTGTTCAATCACCTATAACAGAGTTATGAGCGATGCTTAACTACCATACCAGACGTAAAGTTCAAATTTAAAGTAGAACAACTGTGAAGTTAATCGTAATGAAGTCCATGTGTCTCTACACAACCAACCATCCATCGGTCTACACGGATAGTTAGTAAAGTTCTTCAACACTGCTCGAAACATTTTCTGTACCCTCATTCCTGTCAAATCATTGTTTTCATTTTATTTTTCGCACCATTGGGACCATTTGTGGTGATGGTGGTAATGAGAAGATACTACTATGGTTCAAAGCAAAATAGTATTTAGTAAGAAGATTTTCTGACAGAGGGTCTTGAATTTTATACACGACAATTACAGCCCTCAAGAGTATCTCACAATGATAAATTTAGGGACCTTATGCTAGAAACCCGTCTTGAAAAAGAAACATAAATTAATAACTAAAGATAAAGCTTTCTTACCTTTAGCGTAGCACTACATATTCTAATCACAAAGCGTTTTAAGAGCTCGATCCTACTATTTTCAATGCTGCTAAAGTAAGTTCCATAGTTTTATTTCGAGTGCATCTCTGTAACTCTATACTATAAAAACAAAGTAAAATATAAATATTAAATGCTTCCATCTTTGCAAGGCTCAATACCTGGCACTGAAATCTGAAGTCAATACATTTGACTGCTAGGTAAAGTAGCCACTGTCCTCGCGCAAAAATATTATTTAAAAAAATATTTAATTAAAAATATTTATTCTTCATCAAAGTGAAGCAGGCACTTCAGAAATTCATAGTTTTTTGTAAACGTCTGCTAATAACAAATAGGATAACTCTGAGTCTTAAGGAGACCCCAAAATAGCTGAAATGCATTAGTTTTCTTCAGTTTTTATTTTTTTAACCGCAAAGTGGTTCTTTCTGTTGATCCTTGTTTACTTTTTGCAAGTGGCTGTAGGGCCACTTTTCTCTCATTAAATCATGCCAGACCCGTAAATGGCCTCGGCTGTCTTCTCGCAGGTCCATGATAGCTTAGTGGGTAACGCAGTTACCCGCTAATTTTAGGGACGCGTTGCCCGGTCATAGACACACGGTTTGTTTCGGGCTGGGAGCCAGACGCTTAATGGAATGCCTAACAGCGATAGCGGAAGGAAAAGTCGAAACATAAAAGTTACTGGTATCGGCTTTCTCATACATATGCGTTATTAACACTCAATGGTTCCAACAGCGAGCACCGCAGAGACGAAAACAGCGGTTTTTAGATGATACATTGGTAAAAAGCGTTAGTAGATTGCGCTGGCCGACAGCTTGTTGTTTGTCCTGTGGCTCAGTCGATACTTTATCGTCGATGTTTACTATGTTTCTAAAGATATATAGCTATTATTCTCTGAATATGCACATTTGATAACAAGGGCTTCTAATCTAATTCCTGTGTTGGTTTTTATAGCTAAAATAGAAAGTAGGTATCGAAACCCGTAACCAATACCTATTTACCTTCTAACAAAAATATCCTCGTGAAGTCCTTTGATTTCGCCCACAATATCTTGGGTTGAGGTAATTATGTGCCACGGCCTGAAATTCGCGAAAAGTATTCTGAGTATTTCGATCCTTGAAGTATGTTTCTGTGGACTGTAAAGATTCAACCTTGAAAAAACTATCTGCAGAAAGGAACATTTGATACAGATGCGTAAATGACAAGTTATTGCCCTGTGGTGCTATATGACTTGTAATAGACAAACGTATTGAGTCTCATAGGTTAGAACCGGACAAGAAACTCGAAACATAGAGAGACTAGGTGAGGTTGAAGAGGTGCCTAGATCTTAAGCTCTGTTCTCACCGTTATACAGTGTTTACACCTTGTAGAGTATATACAAATATCCTAAGCAGTATAGCTATGAATCAATTTATAGGCATTTACCAAGCCCTTATTTTTTGTGCGTGTCAACACGTCAGGCGTCTGCAGAATGAAACAGAGTTTGAAGTTCGCCTGCCGACAAAGCCGATTTGCTACAACACTGATTGAAATTCCCGCTAACTTCTCCTACGGTATCTATATACCCTATGTGCATTTGATATCTTGCGTTTTATTACGGCCATAATTATAGTGTCTACGACTGTCTTTCGCTACCCTGCTGTTATGGTGGCAGGCAGCCCAGTTTTCTTCTTAGCTTCGCTTAGTTTTTTTACTCATTGCGCAAACGTGGATGTAGGGAATGTAAACAACAAGCAGAAGTCTTCTGTATTCTCCAACGTAGGTAGCAGCATATAATGGTATAAGCGGTTTTTAGACATTGAGCGTTAATTGCAAAAAGTTAGCTGTGGTTTCATCTGAAGCAGGTAGTGTATGAAAACAAGTTCTTGATATTGTAGTTTTTCCAAATCACTGATTATTATTTTGTCACGAGAATAAATAACCTCTTATAAGCGAAAAAAATTATTTGATAATAATAATAATAATAATAATGAATCAGTTAAAATCATTTAATTGTCATAAATCTTGTGCTTGCTCCTTTTGAATTTGATTCATTATCAAATCTGGAAAAACAACGTTTTAGAATGTATCCGTATATATATCCTACAATGCTGCCTTTCCCAGATAAGATTTACAAAATTGTAAATGAACATACCTACGGAATTTGCTCAAAATCATATTTGGTGCCCTCGAAATGGGTTTTTAAAGATAAGATTCTCAAATTGTACCCGCTCATTTTTTTTACCAGCGTTTTTTTGTTAATACATGATTTTTCATTTGAAACATCGATACAACGGCCCGTTAGGACTAACTTGGCAACGTGGTTCGTAACATTTAAAGAAACAGAACCTTAAGCTAATAGAATCTGAAGTAAGGATTATAATGTAAGCGCTGTATGGTACTATGATTATTTGTTTTTTTTTTGATGAGACCTATACGTAGGTGTACACAACTAAAGACTGAAATTAAGTAATTGATCGGGAGACGTAACGATAATTCATGCTGTTTCCTGAGGTCATCGTATCTCATTAGTGCTTCAAGTATATAAGGTAAATGGATTCTTGTATTAATATATTATATTTAATTGAAAGCCTAACAAAAAATTGACGTAACTTAAATTTATCGCAAAACCAGTTATGATCTATCGCTTGGCTGGCTTTTCAGGTATCCTTCACTTGCTGAGCCGACCTTGTCGCAAGACAGTGAATCAGCAGCCGAAAGAGTATCTTCTGCAGATGGAAGATCAAAGACGATCATAAAGAATTCTGGGATAGATCTATCAAGACATCTGGGAGACGAGGTTAAAGGAAACAGTAACAAGCATTGGCCACCTTACGATCTGGCTCAACAAAAGTTCATGCAAATCACTGTCGCTAACCAACCACCGGCAATCAGGGATCACTATAGGGCGCATCGGCTTGCATTGTGGACCCATCTAATTCCGCAGCTCCACAGGTAAATTTAAGTCTATAGATGGCATCACTGTGGTTAATATTGTGATTCGCTTTTTATTCTTCTTCCAACTTAGTATCATGCTTATAAATTGCTTGGATTATTTCATCGTACGTGCACCGTGCTAGATGCTTTTATAGTCACTCCTAGTAATAAGTCACTACGTTAACCCAGAAAACGGAGAAGAACTGGGCGAGGTACCGTTTAATGCAAAGTCGGGAACACTTCTCGAGTTCCAGCAGAATAAATACGGCTAGTAATTATGAAGAAACACGCCGCAAGCGTAGTAAAACGATATTTGTTTGCTTGCTTTCGGGTATACACGAACTCACCCGAGGGCTTAAACTAGTCGCCGCTGTACTTTTAATATTCTGTACAAATTGTGGATGTGGGTTTGTAGATATATATATATATATATATAGTGGAAGTGACAGTCGATATTGAGCGCTTGCAATACTAGAACAAGATGAAAAAAAATAATTGTGACGACCCTCGGGAATACAATAATGTTTAAAAAAAAAAGCATGGTTATTTGGTGCTGGGGTAATGAGATGATGGCGCCCCAACAGGCCGCCATTCACTAAGCTGAAGGTTAACGGTACATATACAGGTAGATTAGAAATTGGTTGAGTTTTTATGAACAGTTTTCAAGTTAAAGTTTCAACTAGGAAGGTATCTAGACTCTGTTGAAGAAGATAATCGCAACGACATGCGAAGAGGAAGAAGTAGCGAGATTACAAAGACATTTCAACAAGAGAACTGGATTACCACATCAACCGGGTAATTGAACAGGCAAACCAATCACCATAGCAAGGTAACCGCACCAAACTGGTTTTGCGATCACCGAACTAAAGCTATACGTTTATTAAATTCAAAGAAAAGTCACTGTAACAAAATTGGCGCAACAAAAATTTTAGGAAAATAACAAGTATAACATTAACTTGTCGAGGCAAAACTACAGTACAAATTTTTGTGGTATTTTAAGGTAATATTACTAGCTTAACTATACGCCATTTTAATTCAGGACCTTTTGCTGACAGCATAATTCTATCGCCGTGGAATTTTATAATTTCTCGCCGCAAAACAGTGGCAGATAATTTCTACACCTATTCATGAAAACTATATTAATACCGTTAGATAGCCTCTGCAGAAACTGAAACAGGTAACATAAGTTGGTGGAAAATTTAAGCTCTACGGCAATTTTTGCCGATTAGCTAAAGAATGGGGGTCGGTAGACGACGTCGCCCACGAGTCTGGCTGGCTCTTTTCAATTAATATTGAAGATACACTAAATATCTGAATCAGTGGTTTTGCAAGGCGGCAACAACTGGCAACGTATAATTCGTTCCATCTTTTCCTTAGCCACATATTGTGGAGCACCTGTTCATTATTATCGTATGTGATCCATTATTCATTGGCTGTGATGAATCACTTTAAAAATAGCTCGATTTTGTTGCGTTTCGATAAAGATCGAGTAGATTCTTTCGCGTTAATCTGTGCTTTTTTTTTGGTAGCCAGCCAGCCAGCCTTCTTTAAATAGTTTAAGACTATTTGGTAATGGATGCTTAGTTTTTAGGCGATACATGTTGGCCTTCGCAATAGTTTCGTCCACACGTTCTTCTGTGATTGGTCGGCCACTACAAGGAACACGTCAAAATGTTCAGGACGAAACCATCTTTGGGCCGTTTCCTCCAATAGCGTACCCGGCTACAACAGGCACACATGGTGGGCCTGAACAGTATTGATGTTTTCAGGGAGCTCTACTTCAAGTTTGATTGAAGATATTCTAACGAGTTTAGCGCGTACTCATTTACTAAATCTCAGCTTTCAAATTAGCCCAAACAATGTCGACCAGACCCAACTTCTATTACCTGAGACATGATCAGGTCTAACAGCGATTAAACTCATTGATATGACGAACAGGTTATGATTAAAAAGCTTCAGAAAGCGAAAGGATTGCGGCAACATTCTAGTGATAGAATTAAGATGATTTCGAGGGTGTAAGAGACGAGGTGAAGTAATGCAACGGCATGTAATAGTTGTTCGTACGCACCCGAGCTATAGCTCATGTTATGCTCAGTGAGACATCAACGCGTAAGATTAGTTGATTCAACCGAAGTTAGTAGTATTAACTAAAATTAGAGTGTCCTGCCCCCGCCATGTAGCAGATTTGCTAATAGCATAAACAGGCAATCGAAATAGGCCGATAGAGGATTTCTCTCTTCGAATTGTTATCTTCCAAATCCTCCAAGTTGGCCAACAGCTAGGTAGAAACCACGTATCTGGCTGAGAGTAGGTTTGCATCAATGGACCATCACAATTATGCTCTAGTCTAGGCCGGTCAAAGCAAGCAAACATGTGGGGTGGCTGTAGATAGTTCGAAAAGTATGAACAAATGGTAGCTGGATTAGCTGGTCGGTTGGTCAAACGTACGCCAGCACGTGCGGTTATCGGAAATTAAATATAAATATTTATTCTCGAACGACAGATATTTGGATTACAGGTCTAAACGGACGCAGCTAACCAATAAGCACTTTTGAGCAATGGCGCTTATCTACGTGCAGCTAACGAAATGGAGACGATCTGAAAGAGCGTTCCGTTTGAATTCACCAACGGAGCTCCGACGGCATAGGGAAGACGTCGAAAGCCTAACTTTATAGATCGTGATCATTGAGCGTGAAAAGGATCTGACAATTGGCAAGAGCCGGAAGACATTTCATCTTCACCTTTACATATCGTGTGAAAATCGATGAAGAAACAAAATATGTCCATTCGTGCGGTGCGCAATAGCTGTCGATAGACGGAAACGAAGTCGATAAGCTTGGGATGAACGAGCCGACATCGAACAGTATTTCTTCATTCACTTATCGAGTCGACCTCCTTTATAGAAAAACCTAGCAAGCTGGTACATTGCTCACCAATTTATTGGCAAACGACAAAGTCCACATCCCCGTCAGTCATTTTAATATACAACATAATATATGTACAATACATGCAAGCAAAAAATTCGTATATCGGAAGACACTTGCTTTCTTTGGGAAGAAAGGGTGTAGACAGCTTTATGAACATAGATGGCTATTACTCGCAATTACGAAACGATTTTCGTACAGAGAAAGGCCTATGAGCGATTAACGTGCGCATACATACTCCTCGACGCATGTAGGGTATACAAGAGCGGGTCATAAAAACCTGGCTCGCATAAGCGGCGTCACTGTAGTCATAAGCACGTTTTCTATAAGGATGTAATTGAGTTGTTTCCAGGTTTCCCATTGTACGGTACGTGTTCGCTAAATGTTTATAATAAGTAAATAAATAATCCTACATATAACGTAGAAACCATAAGGGACTCAGAGCGAAATCATGAAGAAATTCGTTATGTTCGGGATTATCTAATAGTGAGAAAATTCGAAAAGTATCGAACCAAATTTCTCTATTAAACGTATAGGAATGTAACTCATTTCAATGCATCGCCGGGTTCGTCCATGTCGCATCATAATCGGACTGTCAATATTCCGTTTGCATCCATTTAATGATATACAATACGTTAATGAAACCTTTGCTACGATAATGGTTACGCTACAGCGTGAAGAACGCGATACGTAAAGTAAATACCCTTGAGATCTTCACTGATATCAAGTGGCTGGCATGGTGACATTCCAAACGGAAATGACAGAAAGCCTCAGAAAATTGAAAAACATAATTATTCTACGTCCGGATGTATCAAAAGCACCCACCCAAGAAGAGAACCATAACAACGACAAATATGTTTGTTCGAGCTATACATGTCCAAACTAACTGGTTCTTTCCATCGCTAAAAATGGTTAAAGAAACATTTTTAGTTAGCAGAGTATATCCAAACAAAGATTCATGTGCTGAGGCAGACTATGCTTAGTACCGGCCACAGGAATCGTTCCTAGGATGGCTTATACGCCTAAAATATTTTCGTCCTATATTTGTCGTCCTATAAACCTATATTTGTCGACTCTGAGGTATATATGTGTGTGTATGCTTATATATGTGTGCATGTTTCTCTTAATGCCATCGACAGACCGACAAAATATCTTGAGAAGATTTGTAACCTAAGCAGTTCAACGGACCGCTAAAACGTAAGCAAGCTAAAGGCTTTCTGTGCAAGATGGCTTTACTCCATTTCAATATACACTGCTACCATAGGACATCTAAGAACAAGTTTTGCCAAATTCGGCTTGGAAGTGCAGTTTAGATGAATTAGTAGTTCTAGTTCAAGAAGAAGTATTAAACCCTACCATAAGAAAAAGGTCTGCTTTTTTAATAAACTTTATTTAAATTTTTTACAAAACTGGACCCCTCTCACTATGTATGCAAGTCGCATTTCACAAAGATTCTGTGCAGCGAAATCCGGAGACGAATGTCGCGCCGAACCGATGGAAAACTACACTTTTATTAAATACCTTAAGTTCCAGAAAAATAGGTTTATGTGCAAAAAAAAGCATTATCGTTGCAGTTCTCAATAAATGGTTCATGTATGAGTGGTTTTCAAGCGAATGCTCTCGATCTTGATTCAGTTGCCTTGCGGTAGCCGCTTAAATAATCTGTGCCTCAGGGGGGCAAGCCGAAGCGCGACAAGTTTACTGTATCGACGAAAACAGAAGTCCCCGATGCCCCTAGACGGCAGAAAAAGTTGACTTTATAATTCTATGTGTGAATCGTTAACGGCTCTCCATAACGAACAAAACGAAGGTTCTAGATAGACGCGGTAGCCCGTCAGACATGTGAGACCATCGGATGCCAACATCCCCAGAAGTGATCTTCAAGATCGTACCATCCAGGATTGTTGTCTCCTATAGCCCACGATCCGATTCGGTTCTTATGCGGGCGCGTGTCAGTTTACCAGCGCCCACAGTTAAACCACTCTGATCCTCTCAACAATGCGGTTCTACTGAACAGCCATCATTATTGCAGCAATGCGAGATGAAATGTCTAATTCTGTTTAACATAATATTGATTATTATTGATAACATTGATCGCTGATTGTATGAGTAAATATCTCTACTATTTGCAGGAGCCGCAACAAGCACAGCTAGTCTACATGAAGGCCACACAAGTGAGGGCATAGTTAGCTTTCGCAATGTTATTAGCTATTCCTTTTTTTTCGCCCCTTTTCATCAGTGTGATTGGATGTATTTCAAAATATCGAAAGAAAAAACGATTTATCGTCCTGACTTCATAACAAAAATAAGTCTCGTAAATTTTCAATCTATCTACATTGAAAAATAGTAAAATCCACTCGGTAATGTCCTATGAGGAAAGCAACTATAGATACGTTTAGACACTTGTGCTTGATGCGTACTTGCTAGAAACCAATTCGTTAATAGGCCATAGACATCCAAGATCTTAAAAGTTTTCGCTATAACACAACTTGACGGTGTCCCACCAGCGATTGAGTATCTGCACATAATAATGTGTCGCAGCTCATTGAATAGACCTGCAACACGAGCAGTACGAACTCATACCTAACCTTAAACAATTGAAAAAGGATATTATTACCAAACTGGTATCATAGTTATTTTTTTTGGTTTATTATTAGTTAGTATCATTCAACGGAACCAATGGAGTAAAGCTATCATGCTGAGCCATAAGTTTTAGAGGTCATATAACTAATTTCATATGGCGACCGTTTTGATGGGTTAATATAGCTGGCCAGAATACACTCAGATTGTCTTATACATGTCACTATTGATGCAAAGTAATTTCACAATTTGCATTCTGGGTCCGGCATTGGTCTATAAAAATAAAAGAAATAGTATGTGCATCGGCCGGACGACCTTGGCTAGCTGTAGACCGCAACATTTTACGAATGTTGATCACAATATACAAAATTTATTAGGGTTATTGGAACAATCATTAAGTACCATCCTATAGTAAAACCAGCAGAATGTATCTTGGAAAATTTCGTTAAAGACACACTTGCTTGCTTTTTGCAGATAGGAAACTTCCCACGGCTCTTACTGGCCCCGTATCCACATAGATGCCTGGTGCAGTTTGGCGGCTTATTTTGATATTCTAGATTTAGGGTTTAATGGCTGTCCTTACGGCAAGCGCACCTCCAGCTACTTCTCCCTCGTAGTAAATTTACCGTAACATTTGTTTATGTCAAAGGCGATGCTCTACTTACGACCATCACTGCGGGCAAATAATCGTCTCGAATGCTTTTTGCGAACTCGTGGTCACAACGACAGCCTCCAGTCTTGCTATAGCTGCCCGCATCCACTGGACAAATACTACAAACATGTACGCGCGCCACTGATAGGCTCACCAAGGGACTCGAACATATTACCGCTTGTGAACTTCAGACGGACTTCGCCCGCTACGGTCAGAAGTCAGAAATCTTTCAAGCGCAGAATGTATTGCTTGTGCCAAATGGTACATTGTTTACATATAAAAATAATCGCTGTGGAGTGTTGAAGCTACTTGCACCGCCTCCAGTGACTGACTAATTGGATTTGGAAATGCTATAGTTAAATCAGATTACCATTTCATGTCTAACATTTAGACGGTCTGATGTCACGTAGACCGTTGCCTTGGTGAAGAGACTCGTCAGAAAATTGAATTGGTCCTTTACGACCACTTTTGGCGACGCTCTTACAACCTGAGCTATAGCAATCTGCGGCAAAGTGCGGGAAAGGGTTCATAGCGAAGAAGTGACAACAAATACCTTCAAGCAGACTACATACTATAGAAAGCATTCGTTCCTATCAGCGAACTCAGGCCCCCATAGCAACTACTAACAAACTCAGGCGCCAAACTACCTCAGTTCCTCAAAGCAACAAAAAACAAGAGCGCGATTACGTTTTCGTTAAAGTGCCAAAGTATCAAAACAGGAATAAATCAGAAAGATCATATGTAGTTGTAATGTATGCCACTGCATAATCATGTTTGCGAAAGAACAGCGATAAGAAAAGCGTTAAATTCACTTCACTGACTATAAGAAAAAGGCACATTTACGAAACACATATGATTAAGGACGAGATACTAAGGCTGCGATGAAGTCCTTCCTTTCCGTCTGATTTACAAAACGGCAATAGACCATGTATGACGTGGACATCGGCTATTTTGGACTGAGCGTCACCTCAGTAAATTTGAGTTAAAGACAAGCGAGACATGTAACGATCTCCTATCGCTCGTGAATGAGAGCCGAGGTATTTCAGTCAGTTTTCCACTGAGATTCTGCGTTCTAACGCCGATTCCAGTTTTATTGAGCGATGCCAGTAACGATTATTGTAACTAAACTTCTTGAAAGAATATTATTGTCGAAAGCAATATACGGCAATATCAACATTATTAAGAGACCTCTATTACGATCTCGATTGGGGTACGACAAAAAATTAACTCGGGGTTTACCTGGGTTAAGAAGATTCATCAATCCAACTGTGGATGACATTAATTTCTGCTTTGAACCGGCATTTCCGTGCTCCTAGAGCTCGAAGTGGAAGAGTGGCACATTGTCTTCAGTGATGACTTTTTCTGCAACAGGTCAATATTTGTAAAGCTGCAGTGTTACATCTGGGTGCCCTCACAGAATAATATTCAAGTATGTAGTTCAATAATAATCGAGAAAGCTCGGTTTGACAGACTTTCAAAAGTTAATAGAAATGATGCATTAGGTCTAGAAAAGGGTGCGCCATTGCATTTTAAATATAGGAATACGCAAAAAAATGTTCTATATAAGGGCTGAAACTCAAGTCATAGGTAGCTATAGAAAATTTGCACGTAGCCATATAATATGGCAGGTTTAACTGTCAGATCTGATTAGGGTTCACATACATTTGCCATCAGAAATCCAAAGTTGTACGAGAAATTACGTAGAATATATGCACATCTAATTTGTGATGCCAACAAGGCCACAAGAGAATCCCGGTACACAAAAGGATCAGGAACATCCATTCAAAGGTTTCGTACCACTGTCACAATGTGAATATACTACAGATCATCGAACGTCTGGATTCTCCTAATAACGCCATATTTAAAGCAAAGGTTTTAAGCAAGGTTTATCGTTGATATTGTTGAAACCAAAAGTCAGTCGCAACATGACATGTTACCAAGTTGTAACATAAAAAAAATTGCTGTGCACGATCCTTTTTGGCTGGTCTCAGTCCTACCCACTCAGAAAGTAACTGTCGTGCCATGTATGATTTAAACTATAGTGAAAATTCCAACAAAATACTAAATGACAGCAATAGTGATATCAGTAATGAGGTTACAGACGTGTTGCTTACCGCAGTTGCGCATCCTTTCTATAAGGTTCAACTGACTGCGGGACAGTCCAGGTAGTAAAGGAAACGTCCTCGAATGTCCTTGAGCTTGTTTATACGCAGCATCTCATGTTTAGTCATCCGAGTAGGTTAGACAGAGCTCTGTCTTGAAGATGTCACTCACAGGCCTAACCGAAAGGAAAAGATACTTAAGGATCTCCTATTTCCTATTCCTATATTCCTATAAAGATGTTGGTTGTTAAACGAGCAGTGTTCCTTCTTCCAGAGATGCTATGACGAGGTAGGCGCATACCGTAATCTGCTAGACCGTATATGCCCGGTTGGCTGTTTTGTAGGAAAAACCGTAGCCCGCGACCTCTGGCCGAGAGGCTGGATGCCCTATGCTGCTACGACATCGTAGAGCCATAGAGCGAAAACTTGATAGGAGCACACACACACGTTTGAAATCGACCTTGATCAAAACGTGACAGCTGTCATATCTGGCGAACTGTATAAGAGCTGTCTAAATGCTCGGTCCCACCCAGCACAAGGGCAAATAGAGGAAAAAGATCGCGCATTGAGCTAAAAATTGTAAAGACGCAAAAGGAAAGTCGGTCCACTTCTACAGCTGCTTAGATGATCCCTGGCAAAAATTTGATGTCAAACTTATTTCTAGTCACGCTTCGTAAAACAATACATCGTCCACAAAAGACTGACTGAATTTCTTGTGAGTTCCTGGTCAAGATTCGACAAAATGTACGTCCTCCATTCTCTGAAAACAGATGTGACTTGGATCCATGTTACGTAGTGGTGCATTCGTAACGTCCTGCTGAGGGTAGTGCACAAATGACTCACAAAACTGTCTTTTTGGTGTACGATCCAACATTTCTTTTTGGGTGACCATTTTCATGAAGACTATTAATAATTTCTGCAATCTTTAGATATACATTACTGTCAGTATATCTTATGAGTTACATTTGAGGACCTCTCAAGAGTCAAGAGTGTCCCATCGAAGTGGATTTGGGACAGTGGTTTCACACGTCCCATTGGGCATCAGCTCGCCAGTGTGTGGATGCGGTTGCGGGACACACGTCTATAAGAGGCTGAGGTGTACTATTACTGCGAGCTGGCCGAGACTAACTAATTGCAAGGACCCTAGGATGGCCAGAATGATGCCTGCCATAGCTGATGTGTATGGTGGACATTTAGACCCGAAATCACCCGACAACGTTAGAGGGACAGCTGATTATTTCGAAAGCTGTCTGGGTCTGCTATCTATATGTACCTAATATCGGATATCTTCTTCTACCATTTCCATGCATTTCGCTGCTTCAGTCTTTTACCATTGTGTTGCGGCAGGTCGGGTGGGCCAGATGTCAGCCCCTTACATCATCTTCTCGACGATCACGATGATCCCCGTAGCTACGAAGGCCAAGTTATCATCGACCCACGCTCAAGACACGTGCCGGCTGGATCGACAGGTGGTGAGGTGCGACATCACCCTGGAGCAGAAGGCTTAGAAACAAAGGTAACAATCTGAATAATTAAGAGGATATTAATTTAGAATCAAACTTCGTCTATAAGCCATGTGAATTAACTGATGATTACAATAATCACGTTTTACCTTTCTGTGTCCCTAGTAGTTCGTTTTGTTAGAAATCATCATTTTACCTCTACTCACGAGCTATACCGCCTGAGCCACGTAGATGTGTCTTTGTCAGGTCGTTGTTATTTTGAATGTTATTTTGTTGTGGCGTTTTCTGCGCGACAGGTTTTGCTGAGCTCGTTGATTGTTTTTCTAGCTACATAATTAACGGATATGACGCCGCCAAAATGATCTTAATCCTGTTTACATGCACATAATTTGTATTTTGTTGCGGATCTGATTTCTACGACGTAGAACACACACAATTTTCATTACCATCCTGTCTAGTGATTCGCAGTCTAATCACTCATCGTTATCATCTTTATTTTCTTTTCTAATTTTTCACAACGGCATTCTCCCACTTCCTCCAACTTAGTCGAATGATACCAGTGAAGTTGTTGGTGCAGGAGCAAGCGCCGCCAGCGGTGGCTCCGGTGGTCTCGGAGGGTTTGGGTTCGACTCCCTGTTGCTGCCGGCTGGGGCTGTGGCCTCCTCGTCCGCGCTGAGTATCACACTCGCCGTAGGATGCTGCCTATTATTTTTGAACGCTTTGATATTTGCTGGAGTCTATTACCAAAGGGACAAGACAGCACGACTTCTGCACGAGGCCGCCAATACCAAGGAGCAGAATGTTGACGATAAACCAAAGGTAGGAAGACTCAACGCGTTCGATATCCCTCTTGCGTGCTAAATGTTGTAGCTCTTTTTTCTCTCTTGAATGTATAGGTCGATCGATTAGTTTCGGTAGACCGCCTCAAGATCCACATCGTGCCGGATACCATTTGGCATAGTCGTTCAGATAACATTGTCTTCCATGTCACTTTATCTGTACATTGTTTTGTGACACGCGAAATAAATGAAGCAATTATTAGTAATGGCACATCATCTAATCTGCTATCGGAGAAGAGATTGAAGAGGAAAGCAACCGTTTAACTGCTACTGTATACAGTTGGTCATCGTTGCACAAAGAAAAAACCCGTTTATAAACGTATGTACCGTGTAAAGACTAGCGTAAAACACTCCATTATTGACGGCTTTCTCACTCTCTAATAAAGCAGAGATGTTTAAACATACTGTAATATATACGATGTTGTGACACAAACAGAACCACTGAAATATACCCTGTCGTTTTTCGAAGTGTCAAGCAACCTTGAAAATTATGCGCTTGCGATACCTCATTTGTCTATTATATAATGTTCCTGTCTATCTAGACGAGATGAGCTGTCATCTAGATTAAGTACTGAAAATGTGTAGTTTACTCGCTTGAAGATACCGTGTCTGTACGACGTGATGCGATCGCTAACGGAATAATCTCAGAGCCACCGCTTGCAGCAGAATCATTCGTAGCATCCCTGACAAACTATATAGTTGAGCATGCCCGTATAACTATTTTGACAGTTTTACTGAAATACTTTTTGTGAACCGTATAAGAAAAGAGTGCTTGATACACAGGCATTCATGGAAAAGTCCTGCTGCGATAGATGCATGTGAGTAAAAGTTGAGATAGACGATTGTCAGATACACTATCTGCGGAAGTGTGTTGCGCCTAATTGGGTTCTATAAAGAAGGGGATAAAGAAGGGGAAAGAAGGGGAACACGGACGTCCGAAATCTGAAATAGGTCTGCATATCCCGCTGAAACGACGACAAGTGAGTTATTAAGACGTTTCAAATCACTGGTTATTATTGTATAGCTAAAAGCCCAAAACAGTAGGTCATGTGTATGTTGACAAAATGTGTGACGCACGTTTACTGTAAATACCTGTACATAAAATAATAATTTTGTGTGCAACCTCCTGCTGTTACGCTGGCCGTATCTGCATCCCTGTACGTGCAGTCCGGACGTCTTCTTCCTTATACAATGTGGTGGCACACAAATACACATGCCCAAAAAATATATTCGATAATTTTTAATCCAGCTGACATAGCGGACACAGATGGCCGGCTAACGTGTGCATAGAGGGTGCATTGAGTTATATCAGCGAAAAAATGGTCAACTGACGAAAAGTCTGACGTGAAGAGACTCAGTATGGTATTGTGGTTGTACGAACAAGCCTCCTGCACCGGTTTTTTTTTTTTTTTTTTAATTAAATTTAAATCATTTCAACGATTATTATTGTGATCAAGATCGTCGTCATATTGGTAGAGTCATGCATCATTGCTCTACGACCAGAAACGTGTTTACGTATCGAATATCGAAGCCATTCGATCATCGTTTCAGTCACTTAACCTATACGATAACGCATCAAGGCTAGATTAGATTAGACTTGACGGGACCAGTTAAACAAATGGGCAGTACGTGAAAACAACACGTATTTTTTTCCTTGATCGTTCAGATTGATTTACCAATATTAGCCGGTCAACCGTATCGGCGCGTATTATATTCACTATACGCACTCGACCACTGGTCTATAGCCGAGAATCTTCACATTTGTCTCAGTCAAGTCACTGACGGACGTTACAGTCAGTTGTATGTACACGTATAAATACGTGTATCTCAATAGGAATGCTAGACTACCAGTTAGAGTTAATAAATGGCCCGCTAAAATGCACGCTTCATGGCGTCCAGCCATCGAGATGCGCAGACCATCCGTCTACAATGGCCTGTCCTCTATAGAATACGTATTTGTATTTCAGTGGGTTAACTTTGAAAGGTGGAGGGCAACGTTTAGGATGATTAATAGTTGTGGGTTGAAGTGTGGCTCTCTCTGAAATACCTAAGGAAATAGTTGCATGCTGAACCTCTCCCAATACGCACTAAGCAGGTAACGATAATCATACAAAACTTCACCAATATATCTAAGCACTCGCGAATGTTCATTGTTGCACCAATGCTTGATGCTATTTTGCATTGGCGCAAAGTAGAATTTATACATAGCTGACTTCCAGCTTCTTAGCCTTCTGCAACAGGTGTCACTGCCGCTACGTAGGATTGCTTTGAAGATCTCTCGTAGGACGAGCTTGATACGATCGGAAGGGCTCATTTAGGGTAGTTATTATTATATCGTTCGTACTATATACTGTTGGGTCAAACCGTGTCCACGCCTAGATTCGAACCTAGACCACTTTCGTGTCCCTCTGGTTTGTAGGCAAACACGTTACCGTGACATCGCTGTGAGGGCCGCTGCTATATCACCACGCGACTACGACGTGACAAAGAACATTGCGACAACTCTCAGTAATATGAATAGTAACTGTGATGTCGAACGGCGTCTTTGAACTAATTCTTAAGCTTATGAGCGGGAATTGTGTGAGTCTGGGGGACACTGACCGCAAATGCGTCCGACTGTATGGCGCATGCGATTATTGCTATTCGGCAACGTCAAGGTCGTCTGCGCAAAAAGAACCTAGGGCGAACCTACGACCTTGATCAGAAGGTTGAACAAACCCCAAGTTAGGTGGAAGCTTCGCTCTTATTGTGCGCATGCACATATATGTATGTATGGTATTACATACGCATGACTCTGCACCTTTTTCTCTATTCTAAGAAAATTCAAGAGTGCATTTTATTCATGTTATTACACTTCATTTCGTACTCGCCTTTTTGTACACTTCATTTTGTACGCTTGCCTCGAAGAGTTCATTACTGTGTAGACGCCCTGCACGACATATTATCTGCACGTACGCTAACAGGGGGGTGACTTCATTCCGAGGGTATTCATCATATTTAAAAGATATTCGCCAGGGTTCGCATGAATGACGTTATCAACAAACATCTGCTGCACGCTGCTGATATGATGCATATCTTAACAGTGATCGCTGCCATACGCAGCTGCTGCGCCAACTCGTTATTACCTATCCCGCTCTCATTTTATATCTCCGCAAAATATCCACCGTGCTTAATAGGTGACCTAGTATATGCGTCAGCCTTGTATAAACTAGGAAAATATATATCCTGCACTGCGAGCTTTTGAACCGCTCGATATTTTCTAACGTGTTGTCCTGTTCTTCTTTGACACGCCGTTTGACCCAATGCTCTCGCCAGGTGTCAACAGCAACAAAGATTGTAGACACGACGGGCGGGCCTAAGTCGAATTTAATGGCCGCAGTGGTTGACGGTAACAAGGCTGCACTGCGTTCCGCGCCAAGCGGTTGCAGTCTGGTATCAATGACATCACTAGGAACCTGTGGGGCGGCTGTGCGTTTGAATAGCGCCGACTCAAGTGAACAACAGCACGAGCGGGAAGCGATCTGCGATAGTTTGACAACGTCGATGTTGGCAGGTCACACATGTATGCATACCCATAGCCAGAAACAGTGTGTTCATGAGTGCCCTAGCCATATGAGTGCTCGTATGCAACAGCAACAGCTACACGACGCAAGAGGGATGCATCATCAGCACGATCTCGTTCAGGCCCATCGAACGATTGGAATAACCAGTCAGGCTGGACAAACGGCCACACTGAACGTGGCTAGCGTACATGGGCACAAACATCTGATTGTCAAGACGCAGGTGAGTGTCTTTTGGTAATGTTAGAAGAAAAGTGCTATATGGGAGTTTCCGGAAACGGACTTCCTGTCGTCACTCTTGCGTCCGAAAATAAAACCATGCGTCTTATAAAGGTTTGGATTTGAAAAAAATAAACCGCGGTGACAAAATGAGCTGGGCGCTTTTTTAACGTTCTGTACAAAGAAGTACAAAGAACTATACAGCAAGTAACTTTTCTCCAGTGGTTTCTTGTTTATCGTAGTATAATTCAGCTATTTTCGAAAGGAAATACACGTATTACGTGTCTATTATGTAGGTACTGTCACTAGGAAGCCAACATTGCTCGTACCCGAATAGCCATCTCGACGTCTTCTTCTGTGGTAACTAGCCTACGTTATGACACTAATTCAAGTTCCCTTAAGTTTTAAACACCGATTTAAGTTATTATATGAAATAGCATTTACAAGTTAGCGGCTCAGCAACCGCCCTCGGCATGTGGCACGTTTGTCTGCCCACGCAAGTAGTTTCGTACCCTACACTAAGCAATGCACTATTAACCGATTTCGTTAGAATATGCCACCCCGATTCAGTAAATTGAGTTGGTAAAAGGAGACCTATTTTGGCCCTTTGCTCCTCTTCGTCCAAAGATGATGGAGGTTATCGAAGCGAAATGAGGCGAAGCTGCGATCATCTTTACGGGAACTAGCTTCGCTGTTATTTAGTCTGCCAGCTGAATGGCTGACCGTTTGACTTTGCGCTTTTCTTCACGTTCGGTCATAGCCCGTAATGAGGCCATAAAAGAACGGAGAGGGCAAATTTAGATATGGTACTTGTAGTGTTTGTTTTTTTCCTTCTCATTCCTGTTGCTGCTATTGCCCCAAACTGCTGATTTGCTCAGTTAGTTGTCTGCGGACCCGTACTTCACTACCTACTAGATGACAGCATGGCCCTGTGCCAGGGTCTAGATAGATTAAAGGGCGTGATTTGGGGCAACTCGGTAGTCTCCTAAATGATATGAGATTATTACCTAAACGGCACCTTTTCAGTTTTCCTTCATCAGCGGATTTGGTTATTTTTTTTCCATTGCAGATGCCTAGCAACCCACAGCAGCAGAATGTCCTGCAGGACCAGCAGCAGAATGTCCTGCAGGACCACCAGCAGCAGCAGCAGCAGGCGGGGACCGGCACTGCTACAGTAGCAGCTGCTGCAAATCTGAAGAGTTTGATGAAAGAGGGTAGCTGCGCCCTTTCACTTGGCGCTAGCCCCGATCTAACCATAAATGTGTCCAGCTTCGGTGGTACCGGAGCCACCTGCCCTAGCATATCAGCACATCAGCACCATCAGCCATACCAACAACAACAGCAGCATCTCGAACTTAATATGCAATTTCAAAAGCAAACAGCACAACATAAACAGATCGAGCTGCATAACCAGCGAATGTTACATTTGTCAGAACAGACGCAGTTACATCTTGAAGATCTCATTGAGCAGCACGTACGTTTCATTACCCTTGAAGACGAACGTGTCGATTACCATCTTTGCTACAGGCTTCGCTTATGATTTCTTATGACCTGACTGTGAAAATCTTAGTAGACTTAAGATCTGTCGAATGCTGGAGAAACTTTATCCCCGCCATGCTGCTTCGTAATTTTTTTTTTCTTCCTTTTTTATTTTGTTAGCTGTATTCGAAACATGTTCTTTTTTTCGTTTGTGAAAATGATAATGAGGAAGAATAAGCCGTACGCGACAGCAACTAATAGTAGCTAATTTAATATGACTGGTTAGTCAGAATCAAATGAAGCTTCTGAGACCAATGAATAGGGCGATCTCCTGTTTTTCACGTTGAACCGCTGCCTAACTCTACAGACACGTTTCAACAATTTCAGCAGTACCGACAAAGCTCCCTGTGGTCGATTGCATGTCATTTCACTGTGCTCTTTATGACGGGAGATATTAAGGAAATGTATCAGTTAAAGTCCGAAAATATTACAAATCCAGAGTGTAATATTTGTATGGCCTTCAAAATTGACTAATTGTTTGTTTTTTAAATCGTCTTCGTCATTGATTTCCTTCCTGCTTCGCATATACTCTTTAGTTGATTGGGCTTCTCACGATTGTAGAAGCCAGATAAATTAGCTAGACAGATACGTCGTAACAGAAACGTAACAATTAACCAACTGTTACGTGTAACTGTTAAATAAAATAAAATAATCACTTCTATTGTTATTATTTTGTATCGTCTGAGATTACGCAGTGCCCCAAAGATAATAATTGAATATTTTTGATGTCTTGTTTCTTTTTGTTGCTGTAGGACACGATTGCTACTGTCGGGTGCAGACCCGTCGAATATGTCGGCACATCAACTGGTTAGTAAAAATATTGTGTCTTCATTACCGCCACAAACCGCTGATGGCGCAGTGGATGTAGATAGCATTCTTGGACCTGCGCACTAATCCCGTTCTTTCGCTAGGAGGAGCAAAGTGTGCCATTCACGATCATCCATATCATTCTCGCAAGGATATCAGCAAGACCTGTAGTGCAATACAATAAAAACGCTAGATTATGATTTCTACGTCGTGGTCGTACGCCTACCGGGGCAAACAAAGAAGTATCAAGAGCGGACAACAAAGCGGCCATCCTTACGTTTGTTAGTTGTAACTCGTCGAACCGCCAGGCACCATAGACCCTTTGGTCTGGAACCTAACGTTTTTCTCGATATCCCGACTCTTGGCCTGCATCCTATGCTTCTGCAAATTCCCCGAGAGATGATAGCCAGATAAGAACACTACATCTGAGACAGGCGAAAAAAGTGGGTTGTCGCTGATACCGTGGTCCTTCGCGATCAGTACCATCGCGGGTTCGGCCAGTATAGGCTGGGCATGAAAGTGGCAAGTATAGCCATGACTTTCGCTTTGTGGCCATCGATTCCATGGACACTATTCCATGTTGTTGGCGCCGTTGGCGGTATCGAACGTTTCTACTGCCTGAAGTCAGAGGTTCGTTCTAAGGAAGCAGCACACTAAACTGCAAACGGTCGTCGTACTCCCTTCAGTTCCGTTTTCGGTCTACTATCCCATGTCAATTCCCCTAACCAGCCAATCCACCTCGAATCGAGGAGAAGGCTGCGACTGCAACGCGCAATGTTCAACTTCAAAGAGAGAGAGAGAGAAAAAGACCAAAGAGCTTTTCTACCACCATCGCCATTACTACCCCTACTATTTCCACTCTGAATTGCATTCGAGCCGCTCATGATGATGGTGCTGCTGCTGGTCCTGCCATCGCTGCCTCTGTAATAGCAAGACCACGCTTTAGAGTGCTCTGGAGCACTAAAGCAGACAGCTCGAAGTCGGTGAAGGCCAGTAGCATCACAGAAAACGGGGCATACATCATCCACTTGCAAGATACTAGCCAGTGGGGGAGGGGCAGTCTGAAAAGTCTAACGTCCTGTGAGAATCTTCCATCCTCCCTCTGCCTCTCGCTTGTTTCCACTTCTCTTTGCCCTATCTTTTCATCTTTCTCTGTCTGGCCATTCGCCCCCTGTGTCTCTTCCTGCCCACACAAAAGACCAACCGCTGCTCGCTAACAGAGAAGCTGCTTGTTCCTAAACTACCTCACCAGTTCCTTCTTCACGTCTTTTTATCCTATATATCTCTCCTTTTCCTGTACCCTCTGTTACTTCTATCTTCTAACTCGTTTTTTCGAACTGTACTTACAATTTCGCTTTCTACATCATGTTTGTTTCTTTGTCCCTTCTCGCGCAGTCACTCCCTATTCTGCATTCCCCATGGACTAGCAACGTGGCAAGCGTGAACCCTCGCTAAATCTATGTATGCTATGAGTTTACGCGTGTCTGAGCCTATGTGCGAAAGGAAGAGTGAGCTTTTGTAAGCGCGCGATTTTCGCTCTGTGTGTGAGACGAAATGTCCCTTTCAGGATCTATGTTCGTATCATATGTACGTATATGTATGCCTCACACTAACATCAATAAGGAGCAGGACAGGCAAAAAAAGAAGAGGATCAAACGGAGATGACTTTGGCCTGAAGTTTAGATGGTCGTGTACGTGTGTCTGCGAGCGTCATTGGTACGTGTGGCTGATTTAGGTCAGACGACACGTCTTATAAGTATCGCTTTGCAATCCACGAGGGTTCGTGCTACCACTGGTGCCGTTGCGGTTGCTGCGATTGCGTCTCGAGCTGATCCGGTTGGCTACAGCCGTAGTCTTCCATTGGCCGCTCAATGGATGGCCTGATGGCCAGCGGACGAGCAATGAGATGTTTCGGACGAGACCACCAAGACTGGTAAAAGACGGTAGTAGCAGAGTAGTTGCTCCGAGACGAACTTTAAGACTACTCTAGCCGGTTGTGCTGGTGACGGTGTTGGTAATGCTACTTCGTATTGCGATTCCTGGAACTTCTTTTCTGACACTTCACATTGCCGGTAAGAAACACTCACCAGGCAAAATTTAAGAAAAAACGAACAGCAGCACGGAACGAGACTATAGGAAGAAAGAAAGGGCTAGGTGATGATCAGCGGCAGCGAACGGAAAACCGGCGACTGCTTTAGCAGCCGGGGCATCGGTAGAGGTGAATCGGGCGGTGGGAGTTAACCGAACGTTTGGGTCGCGATGAGTCCAAGGATCGGAAAGGGGCTAATTGAGGCTATGAACGCCGAAACCAGTCGAGCTAATGTGCGCCTGATTGGCCTTTCCGGTTGTGTCAGAGCCAGCCAAGGTCGGTGTAACGGGATCTGCCCAGAAAGCAGGCGACAAAAGAGCGAATAGAAAGATCGGGCGGACATCCCCTAGCAGCAGTAACCGAACGAAGCCCGAAAAAAGAAAACCAGCAACTTTATCCTGTCCAGCACCTTCTCCTCGTTCTGAACGAGGACATAGAAAAGATCAGGATTGGAAGGAAGATTTAGCAAGCCAAAGTGCGGCTGGAAACGTGGCCGGGAACAGGGACCAGGGATGGACCCAACCACGTAGTACGTAAGGAAGCTTTTGACGTCTGATATTAATTCCGTTGGCTTGGCTAGCGACAAAGCTGGCTAAATTGATGATGGAAAGTAATGTGCTCACAACTGGAGTGACAGCCCGACCTTTGCCTGAGTCTAGTTTAGCTGCCTTCCTTCATATGAAATTCGTCTGTGTAAATAGATATTTATATATACATCATCATCGGCAATGATTGTTTTGCTATTACCGTCGGAGCAGGTCACGAACATTGTGTTGTTTTTACGATAATACAATGTTATTGTTAGCATACGATCATCATTCGTTATAGGCTCTTATAGCGCACTTCTGTAAGTCTGCGTTAAACGGACGCACTCCGTGATTTATGTCACAGGTGATTAAGGAAAAATGGGAACATCGGATGCATCGTTTGATGATAATGGACACGATCTGTTACAGTACGGACATTGCTTGTTGACACGGTTTTGTTTGAAGGAGAAGGACGTTTTAGTCTACAAGGAAAATGTGTGCGTAACTGAAGTTCGTAACGTATCGTATTATTAAAAATTGGACATAAGAACTATATATGAAACGTTTGTACATTAGTACCAAAGAGCAGTAATGTAAACCCGCTCTGATGGCATCGAAACTCCGGAGAATATTATCCAGTTTCTGTATGTATTCGGAAATAGAGGGAAATGTGCAGACGTGATTACGCTCAATTGCTTGTGAATACAAAATACAACTGAGTGAAGCAAAGATGAACTGTAATCGCTGCTTTATAAGGCGTCCCTACGGCTTTATGTGACACACGTCGTCAAAAGGTCGAACACTGAACATTTTAAGCGCGAATTTTTATGCTGCAAGTATTTGCAAAGCTAACCCTACCGCCCAAATGTACATATAATCCATATCGAGTCTTAGTAACAACGAGATAGGTGTAAATAAAAACGTAACTTCGAGAAATTGATTTTTTCAAGTTAAATCACATCTGGTGTTTTCACTGATAGGCAGATAATAGTTAATAGATAGGCAGATAATAGATTATTGTTCGGCGGAACGATGCAATCATCATCAAGGCGTTCGTGAGCGATTAGTTTATATCAAATGTTAAGTTTTAAGGGCTGCAATCCTAAAAAAGGATAGAGTGGACCATTCTAGTAATGAGAAATTAGGCGGAACTGTTACCAATGTTTTACACTGTGGCTACCTACTCGATTTGGCTGATAAGTAAGCGGAATGCAGTAAAAAGTGTGTTTTAGCAGAGCTTGCTGTCTATCCGCTTCACTATTGCAAGACGCAAGAAATGCCTGGCGCACGAGGATGGCTTCACTGAGTTAGCGAGAAAACCATTCGAAAATTGAGCGTCGCCACGCTGAACATTCAATAGATGAGACTTGATTAAAATGTGCAATTTGTAGAGTAAAATATTTAATTAAAGTGTAAATTAAGTTTAGTTATCGGTCACTGATAGAGGAAACTTCTATTCAAGACCCTGATCGCACCAGCTACGATGTGGTTGAGGTTTTCAGCCCTCAAAATGGCCAACGACCTAGACGCTAGTAGGTATTCAGCTACGATGATATCCCTAGATTTTAAACAGAGCTATCCTGAAATTACGAGGCAAAACATGCAACGCTAAATGACAATTCCACTGAGGACATAAAGGTTGTAAGAGTCAAGAGTATCTCGTAGCACTCATTGTAGCCAGTAGGAGAAAAAAAAGTTTCCTGATTTTAAAAATAGAGTAGATAATATTGTAGGGAAAGCGATTAATCTGCTCATTTGAATAGCTAAAAAATGCTGTTTGAAAACGTAAAACACAGACGCGCCCAAACATACACGTACACATACATACACGAGAGAGAGACACAGCCCAGGGTGGACTGGATTTTGGTTAATCTAGCTCAAAACATCGGTGTAAGGCACAAGACGTTTAAGTATATACCTATCTATACAGTTGTAAATACATCTACTAAAATGGTTGATAAGGTTATTACTAGATACAAATACCTTAGGGTATGATGTAGCTACTTCATTTTTTTTATGTTTCTAACAAGTAAGTAGGTTCGGTAACTTTTCCACAAGATATGGTGATGGAATTTCGAAAAGTATTATAAAACACAATGTACCCTCTTTACATGACTTGGAACAGTTACTCTGCGGGCTCTTTGTCGTTTGGGTTTGCTTTGTCCTTTGCGCTCTTTTATAAAGGCAGTAATGTCAAGTATGACAGCCTTCTAGTAGTACCAGTATCTATCGTTTCTAGTGATTTACTAAGTAATCTAAGCTTTTAACAAAACTTTTTTACTAATTAATTTAATAACGCTTTGAACAAAAACTTATTTAAATTAAGAACTCGTTGAAAGACCCATGGTAATGCCTAACTCTAACAAGCCTCGTCGAAAGAAACGGCTGTAGCTTTTTAGAAGGTATTTCATAATGTTAACAGAAAGTGGTACAGTATGGTCGACGCCGCATACAGTGCCGCTTAATCACTAAAATAGTACGTGTACTCGATATATATTTTATTTATTTATTATATA